TATATATATATATATTTCCAGGAAAGGCGACGACTTAAAGAACGATATCCAAGCCTTGCCTTGGTATACAAAGATCAAGAACAATGCGCATTGATGCTCAATAATTACGAAGAATTACTGCAGAGTCGTACTATATGTGAAGGAAAATGTGCCTTAGGAGAACAGTGTCCAACAGGTGTATGCAGATCGTCCACTACACAAAAAAGGACCAGACGTCGAACAAATAGATCTCAATCAGAAATGAGAAGAAGTCCCAGTAGCTCTAGCAGTAATAGTACTAGTAGTAGCAATAGCGTAAGACCTCGGTCAGGGCCTGCCAGGCTTAGGAGTTGCACAGGTAGGCATACCACATTCGGTGGTTATTTGCATATTGTTACTTCCAGCAAATTATGTTATTTCCTTGCTTTAACGAATGTAAAGCAAAAAAAAAAGATGAGAACCGGTGAAGAAAGCACACTTCTACAGAATAAATTCTGTCTTGATAAAGAGAGGATATAGATTTAGGCTAACCTTAAATATACAGGGCATTCGCGATTTTAAATACCGTATGATTTATGTATACCAGAAACCATAAAACAAATATAAAAAAAATTTTGTTCATAAAAACAGTTTGCATTAAATGGTCCATAGAAAGAAAATGTTACTTTTACCTTTTACCGATCATATTTTTCAGCTATATATAATAACTGTTCAAAATACCAGTAATACCACCACCACATTCTAAACAAAAACGTCCCAGCGTCTTCCTTATAACTGAGTACCAGAAAAAGTTCTCTGAGAAAATAACTCTTGTATTCAGTTTCAGTGGTATATACTTACTTTTTCATATGACACCTACAAATGAAAACCTAAAGAATTCATATTTACTATTGGACCTTGAAAAATATGTTCAAGGGTTCCAATACATGTCCAATATTAGTGGAACATCTTCCGAAAGAATTGACAAGTAAAAAGTCTACACAATTTTCTTCTGTCAGTGTTCTGTTAATAATAATTGACCCAATTAAATAATCTCCTAGAAAACTGGCCCATACAGCAATAGAAAATATATATTGAAAACTAGTTTAGATACAATTATTGCAATGGACTCATTTACCATTTTTTTAATTCATAATCAGAAATCAGTGTATTCAGTACAAAAAATCAGATTTTTTTTCGACAATGTCTCCTTCAAAATAATTAATTAATTTTTTTGTGGAGCTATGTTCAGGACAATTGCAACTAAATCTGTTTTTCGTTGTGAAAAAAATTAGAGACCTTATGTTACCGACAACCCACGTATTACTGAATGAGCGCATTATTTAGGTATTGCGTTGATATCACAATAAATACCCTAAATCTTTGGTTATTATAGCACTAGAAATCCAAATATTCCGGTGGTAATATTGTGGCCATCCAACATACTGACTCTACGTTTTTTTTTGTTAATTAGGTTCAGCTCCGCCTTCCCGCTCAGGTTCGCGTGTCGACATTTCGTCACTGGCATCATCTGGAAATCTAACGGCACCATCCACCCCCCAAGGAAGCCCGCCCGTGTCGCCGGTGCGAAGAGCAACCACTTCTGGCAGGGTATCCGTTCCCCTCGCTCTAAAAGAGGACGACTTTGATTCATAGCCCTCACCACAAATCACCCTATTTTTATACGGTGTTACAGTTGCAACTATGTAGCTGGTTTTTAATATTCCATAAGCAATCAAAATCGTAAAGCTCAATTAGTTGCATATTTGAAATTTACGTTCACTGACCTGATAAGACCTACCCTCCATTTTAAATGTAAAATTATTTTTTGGCGAGCGAATTGTCCAGTGTCCAAGACGGTCTTACTTGTTGGTGAAGATATTATTGGTTGTGATATGTTCAATATAACGTGATATCGGTTAATTAATTATAGCACTGCTTAAGCAATCCATCCTTAATGTAAATAATAACTAGAGCAATATTGTTGAAATATACAAGAAACCGGCGCAGTTTCGGTTTCGATACAGTTAAAGTTTTTTTTACCAAAGTTAATGTTAGTAGTTAGGAAATCATGTATCTATATTAATAGTACCTCTGTACTATTTAGAAGGAGTGTAGTAACAAAAAAGTAAACCGTTCCATAAAATTCTGCTTCTCTTAAAGTAAAAGTTATCTAGAAATAGTTATTATACCTATTTCTACATATACAGGGTGATTCATTAACAATGGGAAAATCGAAATCTGAAGATACTACACGTGAAATGGTGACCATTGGCGCAAACATGCCTTATCCGAAAGTCGATAGTTTCGGAAATACAGGGTGTTGAAAGTTAAAATTTTGAATAGTTTTTTACGATTATTCTGAAAATATTTGTGAAACTATATTTTTTTAGGCGACGAATAAGATGTGTGTTGTATTTTCGCATTGCTCATAAAGGGCGCCACTTACGACCAATTTTACCGAAAATTTAGTTAATAACTTTTTACCCTGTATGTCTAACATGAAACTTGATTCAAAACCTGAAAGAGCAATCATTTTTCCATTAATTGTGTATTCTTGTTTCATTTCGGTATCTCGATCCGTTTTCGAGAAAAATCGATTTAACGAACACTATGTTTTGATAATATGAGAAATTAAAAGCGAAACAAACCAAGTGTTTCTTCGTGTTATTATAACAATTAACAATAAAACAAATGAAGTTTCATGTTATATATACAGGGTAAAATTGGTCGTAAGTGGCGCCCTCTATGAGCAATGCTGAAATTACAACACGCATCTTATTCGTCGCCTAAAAAAATATAGTTTCACAAATTTTCAAGTTCCTAACCTACATATTTTCAGAATAATCGCAAAAAAACGATTTAAAATTTTAACTTTCAACACCCTGTATTTCCGAAACTATCAACTTTCGGATAAGGCATGTTTGCGCCAATGGTCACCATTTCTCATGTAGTAGCTTTCGACTTTCCCATTGTTAATGAATCACCCTGTATATATATTTCTATTATTTAATGAACTAATTACTTACTTAATTTTATAAAAGGGCTAAATAATATTTATTATGAAATGTTGACACTAAAGGTAGAAACACATTGTTGCCACGTCACGTGAAAGCTGTTCCACTGTTTATTTTAGTACTCGTGGGAAAAATATAACATTCTCGTTACGCCGTTTTGCTATTTGTATTTGGCTGTGTACCACCCTGCTGACATATATCAGGTGTAAAGTCAACTTCAGATATGCTAATCATGTAATCAATGATCAAGAATGTGCTGCTGCGAAACTATTGGTCGAAACAGGTTGAAGGTCCGTGCCAAACACGCGAAGCACCTATTCTGTTAGTTAAGTGGCTGAGTAAGAAAAAAGAATAAAAATATACCGAATTTTGTTTAGAATTTTAATTTTTTAATAGTACTTGTTTTAACTTTCCTAAATGCGTGATTACATGGTGCAGATGGCATATGACGTTTCAACAGTGTACCTCTGCTTTAATACACACAACCATTGGAAATGAAAAATAGTGGACAATAATAACGGAAATTATGAATATACATGATGATGGAAATGTATAATCACAGTGCCGAATATAGTTATTTCCGAGGTTAATTTCCAATGAATTTTGAGCTACGAAAAATACATATTTAGGAGAAATTTACTTAGATTTAAAACAAAGATAAAGTAAAAGGTTTTTTAAAATAGGTATTTACATTTACGATTTACTAATACTAACTGAATCCTCTAAAATTTTCCTGCCAAATTCTACTGTTAGAGACCACCCCAGCTAAATCCGGCTCTGCTTGCTAGAATAACCGTGTTTAGAATAACATGTTTCAGTTTATCTTTCGCAATGTAAAGTATATAATCAAGCAATACTTATGTACCTACTATAGAAATTTATTATTAATGAAGTACAAGGGCAAAAATGAAACAACTGTTATGCCCAGCAAAACAAATAATGCAACACATTTGTACTCTTATATTACTTAATCAATTATCTTATAAATATTACCCTAGTTTGTGATAGTATAAAATATAGTTTCTAAAATAGATCCAAAGATTTCAATAGAAAAAAATTAAATAAAACAAAAAGTCTTGTTGTTTGACCTCCAATCATCATAATAATACTTTCAATTCACTTGAAAACGGTTGTAGAAGTGGATTTTAATTTAGGTTTTATGTCTACAACTTGTCGACTATAAGTTGAACTGTTGAAATTTGTGAACTATTTTGGAAACAATATTTTTTTATCATTCATCACTAACGCAATTTTACCTACTTTAACACACTTTTACACTCATCCGTGATAACTATTTTTTGTGATATAAATTACTAGTGGAAAAATTAATTCCTTTAAAGCAGTGGGATCCCAAAGATGAGGAAGCCTCAATAACTCAGGTAAATGGTTTATTTTTGGAAGGAAGCATCTTTTGATGTGAATGTTGTTCTTGTTCGGTTTTCACTTATTCTCGGATGTAGTATATAGTTCCTATTTAAAACTACTTACCTAAAATTTAAAAAATAAACAAAATTGAGCCGCCACGGCATAAAGAACCTTTTTAATTTATCGTAGTATATCTAAGAAAAAAGATTTCGTAAATTTTTCCAGAAAAAACTATCATTATTCAGAATAAAATTAAAAGCGCAAAGTAGAGAAATAAGAGAGATAAATAATAAAATAATAAATGAATAAATATATATTTAATAAATAATTGTGTTTGAATGCATTTAAAGATAGTAAGGTTGTGTTTGTTAAGGGTATTTTTTTTTAAATCAACGCTGCATCTCGAAAATATTTTTCTATAAATTATTGAGGTCCCTTTTCAATTGGCCCACTGTATTTTAATGAATTTTAATGCACATATCGTAACTATAAGTTATTATATATTTTGCTGCGTAATCGTAATCGAGTAGGTACAACAAAACGGAAGGATGCAAATATATAATTACTTGTTTTACTTGTAACAATTGCCTTACTTGTACAAAAAAAGAAAATTTGCATAATGAATAATTTTAATTGACTTAAAACCTAAGCATTGATAATTTGATTATTAAGTACACATTTCTGTAGACTGTGATATAAACCAACGTTGAATTGTGAGAATGAATAATAAGTCATATTAAATCAAATGGATAGATTGGAGTCGTGTTACAGTTAAATAAATATCTTTATTAATCTAAACATTCTAAACCCTTTCTTAAATTAATAGTCCAGTCATTGAAGGTAAAATACGGCGTTACTATATAATTTTCCCAAACAGCACCGATTTGCACCAACATTTGGATTTAGGTTCTACTTACCCTGTACTTCAAAGTTGCTTTTTATTTTTTAGAGGTGAAAACTACCCCTATTCGATAATAATTATAGATTTGTAGACTCGAGCGAGTAATAGGTTGAAATCATCTTTAAATAAGTAATTATGATGAATTGAAAATTGTCAATCCCTAAAAACCACCCCCATTAAAAAATAATGTTGAAAAATATTATTCTGCAACTTAGAATAATTTAATCATAGTGATATTAAATTAAGATTTCTTTACTGTTTTAATTTTTTATTACCCATTTATTTATAAGTTTCAACCCTTATAAAAACCACCCCTTGCAAAAAAATCGAACAATCAGTTAGTTTTAGTTCAAAATATAATACAATCTTTTTTATTATTTAAAATGTAATGTATTTATTTATTTTCAAACCTTAAAAAAACCCTACTGATTAAAATTAGCAATCAAAAACAGGGAAAATAAGAATTTTATTTTCATATGGATTTTTTTAACAAAATTTTTTTTTATTGCAAATAACACAAATAATCAAAAATCCTCTTCACTTTCGTCTTCCTTTTCTATTCTATTCCTAAAATTCCTATTTCTATTCCTAAAATATAGCTATAATGTGTAATGCTTCGATATACGTGTTCTGGAATGTGATTGGTTTTTTACCCATAACTCGCTTAGTTTTTATGCTATCAAGCCCTTCAAAAAACCATTTTGTAGGTTTTTTTAAGGGCTATAAGATCAAATAAGTTAAATTTTCTTTCAGCCCTTATTTTTGTAAGGGTTTGAACTGAAAGGGCTTGAACAAGATGCTATTTACGAACATAAGCAAACTTTAATCGGCCATATCTTACTTAATTTTTATCCTACAGAAAAAAAAACAAAATTTTCAAAAGAGCAAAACCTACAATTTTGTACTCTACAAAAATTTACGTATCATTAATAGTTTTTGAGTTATTTTGAAGAAAACACAATCTTTTCCAAAATTAACAAAAATTCTCTTTTCACTTCAAGCTCAACTTTTTTCAAAACTAAGCACTTTAAACCGGTCAAACTTCTAGAGCATATTACAAGTACATAAATAAAGTAAATTGTAAAGTGGTAACGATTATTTTCAATTGGGCTGGTAATTAGGGGGTGATTTACACGTTTTTTGTCGCCGAAAAAAATACGGACCAACCTTATTTACGTCATAACTCGCTTAGGTTTGATGCTAGGCACTTTTATAAAAATAAAGGTTTTTTTCAAGCACTTTAAAAAAGGTTCTATGAGTATTTCCTGAAAAATGCATTGGTTTTTGGTTATTTCACGTTCAAACTTTCAATTTTGGCGTTTGACGAATAAGAACCATCCTTCAACAAGCTATTAATCCGCTTGTAATGGCTC